CCGCAACTTTCCACTTATTGGCTGCCTCGTCACGGGTGGGCGCTCTACCCCCCGGCAGCCAATAAGTGGAAAGTTGCGGAAGGCGGTCCGGACAAGGCGCTTTGGGGGAACGAGGCATGCCTCCAAATGGTTGGGATCTTGTTGACAGCATGGTCTGGCTACTCGCCGCACACTCCCAAGAGAAGAGAGGCGGAGAAAACGAGCACTCCAATGTTTCGGGCTATTGACGGTCGTAGGCAGGATGCAAAGTGGCGGCCTACAAACACAATTTGCCAATGTTTTCTGTAACGGGTCTCACTCTCAAAAGTTAGAGTACGACGTCGAGCTGCCCGGTGGCGGCCTAGCCCTAAAGCGACCTTCTGGGTTGGGGGGTATCCACCCGCTGATTCAGACGACGTGGGACCAGGTGGCTTTCTCAGTACAAACGCGCAGGATGTCGGTTCCACCTCCCCCCATGCATCACTGTGTGCTGCTCGGGATTTTTTTTTTTCTTCTTACTATGACACAACGAAACCATCTCTATCATAGAAAAGAGTCTAAGACAGATTGGCAATGAATTCATAGCGTCAGAAAGTTCCTGTATGTCTACGATTTCCCAGACAGCATATAGGGACATCTCCCCTGCGGGTAACAGGCTCAACAAGACGGTTTGGTAGCTGTCTTGTGTGAATATTGGAAAAACAGAACTTTCGCTGACTCTTTGGATTCATTGCTCATCTATCTTAGACTCCTTTCTATATAGGAGGATAGAGATGGATTCGTTGCGGTCATACTGATGAAATAAAAAAAATAAAAAACTGCGAAGGGTACTGCTATGCAGCTGTCTGCTCAAGTTCTCTGGTAGGCGACACTGCTGGTAAGTCAGGTGGATGGAGCGATGTGAAAGGGGCACCGCAAATAGCAACTACAACAACCCCCGTCCCAGACAACGAAAATCGTCCGGCTATCCGCGATTCTGCTGTCCGTATATCAACGCGCGCGCGTGCTGACAATTTGGAAGAATTACGTGCAGAAAGGACGTATTACAGATACAATTCAGCACACGATGATGGAAGACTGTACATGAATCCTATGCAGGCTTGAGGATTGCAGCAGGCCCTAGGCAGCACCATGCATACACCAACAGAGCACACAGCAACACGCACACAGCAAAGCTTGAGCAATTATCTTCAGGATCTAGGCAGCAACACGCGTACAGCAACGCCCGATGCGCGGTTGAACACAGCAGTAACCTATCTCTATAATAGGCCGCTTGGTTCGGGGTGTTTGGAATTTTGCGGTTTGCGTCTGTCTCTCTCCCTCTCTCTGCGCAATGTGTAAAAAGTTACATGACCTCACAGAAAGACTACCGTTCGAGATAATACTATGGATAGCAGTCGCAAGGGATGTGCTATCCATGGCCGGGGGGCGTTTGCTTACGCACGTACCATGCTCTAGCCATGCACAGGGTGAAAGCGAGAGACAAACCTAGACAACATGAGTTCAGCTCGCGAAGAACCTAGACAACGTGAGTTCAGCTCGCTTGAAGAACATGCTGTTGGGCACGTATCCTACGGTATGTATTTGTATCTACAAAGTTTAGTTTCACACGTGTGACGACCGACTCTAGCCACGCCAAGGGTGAAAGCGAGAGACAAACCTATACGACATGAGTTCAGCTCGCGAAGAACATGCTGCTGGGCGTGTGCCCTACGTTATGTAGATAGAAGCATATGTAGTACATATTGTACTGCTGCGGGAAAGTTCCACACGTGTGCCGCAAGGGTAGCACACCAATCGCCCGCGTGCGATGTACTGCTGTGGTACATACTGCGGGAAAGTTCCACACGTGTGACGTAAGGGTAGCACACCAATCGCCCGCGTGCGATGTACTGCTGTGGTACATACTTGCTGCGGGAAAGTTCCACACGTGTGACGTAAGGGTAGCACACCAATCGCCAATCGCCCGCGTGCGTACGCATACTCTCCGCTTGGTTTGGGGTGTGTTCGGAATTTGGTAGGGTGCCGTACTTGTACTGGTATACAAAAAATATTGCAAGTACTATTATTTTTTGAACATATACATGACGACTATTTACCTGTACGAGATAAAACCGCAGCAGATGTGCTCAAGGCTTTTCAGTGAGTGGAGGGAGACCGGCTGGAAACGGGGCTCATTTTGGTATTCGGGTATTTGCAATTGCGCGATGTCACCCATCTCCGTCTCCGGCCCTCGTCGCTCCAATTAGGGAAAAATACATACACACACAGAAAGACTGCCCATTCGAGATATACCCACAGCAGTCGAACGGGATGTGTCAACACCCGCCGTTTTCAGAACAACACCCATTGCACTTTTTTGTCGCCACCACACGGAGACAGTGTACGCCCTCGTCGAGCATGAGAGGTAGGGTGGGACTCGCTACCTCGTCGTCTCGAGATTGGAATGTCAAAGAGATAACAAGGGCTGCTGCTGCTGCTGCTGCTGCTGCTGCTGTGGTTGGTTGTGCCGGCGAAACAACAAATAACGGCGAGTTGGTGAGGTTGAAGCGGTTGAAGGGAGAGGACAACAAAAACACCCTCTGGGCGAACTCCGAAGACACCGAAATCGTTTTGCTCGACACCGACTAGCTCGATGCTACTACTGCTGTGTAGGGAAAGGTGTTCCCGCTGCGATTGCTCCTCGTGGAATGCAGCCACGCCGAACGAACCTTCTGCGGAACGAAACTGCTGCTGAGAATTCTGTCTACACCCAAACTGAACTATATAAGAACTTGCCTTGATCGGGCCCTCGTAGCCCTTCGCGAGCTTCACCACAGCGTCTCGAACCACCTTCCCCGTACGCAGCTGATTCGTACTCATACTTTCTCCTCCTCTGCTTGGTTCCTGGGGGGAGCTAGATATGTATTCCTCTCTCTCTTTCCTCTCTCAGCCACAGCAATCCAGTGGATGTTAGTGAAGTGTGTTTGAAAGCGCTCGAAAATACGGAAAAAAAAACGGGGCGGGGGTGACGTGATATGTGTCCAGGTATATGGGGAAAAAGAGAATCGTTTCACGGAGCCGCTTTGTCGGTTTGAAATCAAATCCTGTCTCGCAGCACAGAGCAGTCTCCTGCTTTTCTTAGGTAGCCGCTCTCTCTCTCTCTCTTTCCTCTTTCCCATTGCCTCTCAAGCGTGCACTCGTGCTGCACGCGTGACGCATTCCAACGTGGGAGAACTGAAAATTAGAGAACAACTTCACAGGAAATAGGTCTCTGTTGCACTCTTTTCAAACAGACACAAGAACCGCGTGGTAGCGGATAGCCCGCTTCTCCTGCGGGACAAGCTTGGCAGAGCGGACAACAACGGCAACGCAGAAGTGGCTACCTTCGCATCTTGGACAATAGGTTCTGGATATTGTGTGTGAAGGTTTGATGGGTGGTTCTGGCAACCGGCATGAGTACTGCCGCTCCACTACAGCCCATGCTGGGACAGGAGCAGCACCAGCCGACACCGGCAACGGCGATCGCAGCACAGCTTAGTAGGCAGGAATCTCAGCCGCAGCAACAACAGCCACCGCCGAACGCAGAAGGGGGTGCGGCGAGAGCAGCGCCACCCCTCGAGGGCAGGGATGGTACTCCAGTCAAGGAGCAACGGAGACCCACAAGGGTTGCAAGTCCTCCACCAACGCCGGCACCGCTTGCGGACACGCCCGGCGGTACCGCCGCCGCGTCCCCACCGGCAGCAGCCACCGAGGTACGCCCACGCCAGGAGCAAGGGCGCTCGACCGAACCAGGAGCCGACAGCGGCCGCAGCAGCGGGAGCAGTCGCGGGGGGGAGCAACCCGAAGGAACAAGGCAGGTGGCGGCGGCAACGCCAGCAGCTGGTGTGGTCGGGGATCGGGACGGCCGGCGGCGGCGAGCGCTCGGTGATGTTGGTGCAGATGACGGCGCCGGCAGCAGCAGCAGCGGCGGCGGCGGCGGCGACGGCGACGGCGTTTCCGATGGCGGAGGCAGCGGCGATAGCGATTCAAATGGCGGCGGCGGCGGCGGCGGCGGTGGCGATGGACACCCACCTTGTCGAAACAGAGATTTCGTTCTGACGAAAGCGAGGATGGCGGCGGTGAGGTGCTACCTGCGGGACGGCGACCCGCTGTTCATCCGTTCGAACCTGTCGAAGCTGGAGGCCGGCACGCTGACGCGTCTCGCAGTCGGGGACACCGTCAGAGTGGCGAGACGGTGAGGCTGCGACTTGCGTGGGTACAGCAGTACGTAGAAAATGCCCGCTTCGATGCCGCAGCAGCAGGAGTGGCAGTGTTGAGGCATTCCGTGGGAAATACCACGCGTGCTCGGTGTCCCGTGGGCACCCGGCGCTTTGTACCAGTCGCAGTTGCTCAGCCAAGTACATAGCGTCCTGTACGGGGGATACGACGGTTTTCGCTCTACCGGCCGCCTCTTGTCTTGGGTGTGTAGCCCTTGTGGAGAGGACAGCGTCCTCAGCAGACGCATGAAGGACGGCGAAGCAGCAGCAGCGCCTTGCACCCTCTGCGAAGTGAAGTCATACGGAGGTTGTTGGAAATGTTCGCACGGCAGAGACGGCTGCTCTCGTGGCACACGTTACTCTTTCCTGGCAGATGTCGGTTGTAGTGTGACGGCGTGTGTCGGCCGGGGTTTAGATATGCTTTTTGAACCGCTCACGTCGTATCCCAGCGGGGTCCCCGCTCCCCCCTAGATTGTGTTCATGTCGACGATGTCTAACCCCCAGGGTAATGACGTTCTGTTTCGTCCGAGAAGGTGTCGTGGGGAGAATAAGGAGGGAGGGCAGGGCATCGTGCTGGCCGTGCTGCCGGAATATTTCTACGATGTCAAGTACGTCGGCGGGGTCGAATACGGCGTCGACGCCTGCTTCGTGGAGAAGATCAAACTGGTGCGATGTTGTGCTTGGCTGTCTCAGGGCGCTCGCGGGACACACGACTCGACAAGACGAAAGAATATACAGCAGTATGTTTGCCCCGCCCAGGCTAACTTTGCTTGTTGTAAATCCAGAATGTTCGCGCGTTTTTTTCAAGTAGTGGTACAGTATCACCTCTTGTGCCTGCACCGGCGGGTGAGACAAAACAGAGTTTCGGAAAACGCTGCCTTGTCTACGCTGCATTTCCTTCTTCTGAACGCTCGCACGATCATCCTCTGAATTTTTTTCCGACGGTGATGTCAACGCAACTACCGATGTTGTCTCCGTGGATCTATACCACATTCCCCGACCACCACCGCAACAGGGAAGCACGAAGCGCAGAGGCGGGACCTCCAGATGCGGCACGTGCAACTCCTTCGAGTCCGAGTGCACCTGTCAGGCGCCGTCCCGCGGGGGCCGGTCGGCCGCGGCGGCGGCGGCGGCGGCAGAGGAAGCGGCGCTGGCGGCCGCAAAGAAGGCGTCCATGTCGTCCTTGCCGTCCTACCTTCGGGGCGGCGGCGGGTCACCGTCGGTATCTCCGCAATCTCCGAAGGAGATCGCGGTCCCGGGGGGAGCCTTTCGAAGGGGGCGGGAACGAGCTCACCCTCTCAAGAGACCCCGACCCGCCGGAAGCAGTCAGGAGGCCAAGGAGAGGGAAGAAGCCAGACCAGACCCACCGAGAAAGCAGGCTGGTGGCGGTGTACCGGGGGTTCCACCACGTGTGTGGGGGGGTGGGGGTGGCGTCGAACTGAAGAAGGCCGCCGTAGACGACCGCAGTAGTTCTCTTCAATCCGGGGAAGGGGGACAGGGTATGGATGTGGAGGACGATGGGTTACCAAGGCGCAAGGTTAGCCACGGAGATACCTTCGGTAGCGGGGCGGTGCCGGGCGGAGCAGGTGAGAGCGCCACCGCCGCCGCCGCCGAAGGAACAGAAGGAGACCAAACACCGCCCCAGCTTTCGAAACGATACGACAAAGACTCCGGCGGGGGTGATGACGATGCCGAGGCGATCTGGACGGAGCATGCCCAAGGAAGTCACGACCGAGAGATCCCCTCCCACGGACCTGACGCCCCCGCGAAGGGCACGTTGCGTCGCGGCGGTGTTGTCGACAGTAGCAATCACGACCCCGTGGAAGGCGGCGTCGGCGGCGTCGGTGGCGGAAGCGATGGAAATCGGCGAGACCCTGGAGAGGAGGAAGAGTCCCAGCCGTCGTCTAGCCGAGACGTGTGGCGGCCTCGAAAGAAGGAGCTGGTCGAGGTGGCGCGACGCATGGCGCCGGGTATGAACAAGCTCGGAGGTACCGCGCGCGTGGTGAAGGTCGACCCGGCGACCGGTCTGGTGGACGTCCGGTTCGTCGTGGAGGGGGGCTGGGAGCGCAACATCGACCCCGTGTACGTGCGCCCGGCCACCCTAGACATGAACGAGAAGCGAGCCACGTTTGGTAGGTGCGTCCATTGCGGCAGCCTGCGCGTGGACTGCCAGCAGGAGTGCGAGTACTTCACCTCGCGACCCCGGGCAACGCAGCAAGGCTTGTACCTCATAGAGGAGAGAAGCGAGGAAGACGGGGGTGTGGGAGGGAGCTCCCGCGGAAAGGAGCGGCGGCGTGCTGAGCGCGACCAACACCGTCGTCGCCGTCGTCGCCGTCACGATGGTCGTTCACGGGCGTCGCAGGAGGAGGGCGGGGATATCGACGACCGAGAGAGGGGGCACGCGGACAGCCAAACGCGACGGCGGCACCTCCCCCAAGACTGGGACGAGGAAGGGGAGCCCGTTCCAGGCAGCAGCGAGGAGGAGGAGGAGGAGAGAGAAGACGGAGGCGCCGACCGAGATAGTAGTAGAGGCGGTAGCGACAGCGACGGGGGGGGGACTACCGCGCCGCAGCAAAGAAGACGAATCGGTCGGCGGCTGGCCGTCAGCAGCAGCGGCAGCGACGAAGGGACAGCGGACGACGCCGAGGTTCCCAATCGTCGGAGGCTCGGGGATCGATCCGACGGAAGCTATGCCGGAAGCCAGTACGACGACCACGGCCACGACCACGACTCCGATATCGACCTCCTGTATGTCCAGCCGGGTGTCCGCGGCCACGGCGGGACTCTCCACCCTCGTGATCGTCGTAGCCAGCGAAGCCGCGGACGCGACAGTAGTGGCGGAGGAGCCAGTGATACCGAGCAAGACTCGGGGCTGGAACAGGGCGAGGAGGAGGGAGAGGGAGAGATGAGCGTCTCCTCTGAATCGGGCCGCAGCGGTGGTGGTGACGAGGGGGGCGTCGGGGGGGCGTTCCTGCAGGCGGAGGGGGACGAGGACGAGCTCCCGCCGGACATTCGGGATCCCACGCGAGGGGTCAAGGACCCCGGCGTGCTCCAGGCGAGGCTGGAGGAGTTGCTGAAGCAGATGGAGGCGGGCGACGTGACGAAGCTTGAGGAAGACGTTGCTGCGGCGTGCCGGTGAGAGACTGGCTCCGGGGCGGTAGTACATGTAGCGGTATGGGGTGGGCATTTTTGTTGTTGTGGCTCGGGGTTTGTGCCCTTCGTTTCGGGCTTGTAATCTCGTTTGTCGGTGGCCTCTCGATACAGAAGAGCTAAATTTTAGCAGCATCCGGCAGAAGAACGTCTCCGCGCTTCGAAGGCTAGGCCGGATACATTCGGCGCGGAAAACGCCGTGCGTTTGGTTCTTGGTCGGCCGCTGCTACAACTCAACGTCTGTCTAGCGCCTTGATTTCTCGGTTTTGTTGTTTCTGAAAGGAAACGAACAAGGCGCGCCTTGGGACCTGGCCGATACCTCACGGCTTCGCGCGAGCACGTTTGCTAGTCCCGCTCGCCTGGTCCTCCTCCCTGATCTATGCCATGTGCCTCCCTTTCGCACGCAACACATGCTTGAGACCCAACAACGATGCCTGACCTCTTCTGTTCCAATACCACCGCCCACGAAAAAAACACGTCAGGTGCGTGGAGTCGGCGACCGCGCCCGGCGCCACCAGCACAGCCGCCTTGGTCTCCTCCCTCAGAGCCGACCTGCAGGACCTCTTGGACAGGCGTGACCAGGTAAGGCAGACGTCGGACGTCGCCGAGAACATCTACCGCCGCCTGAGGAGGCTCGCCAGGAGCTGGCATGACGGCAGCGGCGGGGAGGGCGTCTGGCTCCGGCTGGCGAGCCTCTCGCAGAGGCTAGAAGACCTGAGAAAGGCCGCCCTGACGGGCATCCGCGACTGCGAGAGCTCCGCCGCCGCTGCCGCCTGGAGCGACGGAGGCGGGGGCTCCGCGGAATCTGGTTCGTCCTCCTCGGGAGGCTCCCGTTCGGATGACGAGTTCAGC